GCGAGCCGAGCGGCTCGTCGGATCAGCCGCTCGGCTCATACTGTAGCAGTCCACGAGCCGTTGTGGCTCGTCAAATAATGAGCCCGACCGGCTCGGCTCGGTTTTTTTTAAGAATGATAGTTAAAAAAAAAAAACGACAGTACGAGCTGTGGGCCGAGCCGAGCACAAGCTCGAGCTCGTGGGCCGGCTCGGCTCGGCTCGGCTCGTTTGCCACCGCTAAAACAAAGAAGATGGAAATCAATTTCCGAGTTTCAGAGAATTGATGTCAAATCAAACATGCCCTAATTGAAAGGGGCAAAAGCGTCCGAACAAAATTTGAAACCTAAAGGCGGGAAACACGGTGCCTCAAAAAATTGAATTTTCAATTATATTTCTCACTCTTTTTGATTCCCGAGTCATTGTCATATGTGCAAACTGCAGGCCTCTCTGTTCACTTTCTGTCACATCTTTCTCCTTGTCCTTTCACCCTATCTCTCTCTCTCACTCATAATTCAATTTTGCAAACAATTTTGTTATATCTCAATTTCCAGGTCAGTTTTATTATTGATCGATATTTTTTCATTTTGATTTGTGGTGGGATCTCTTAAGTTTTAAGCTGAACGGTGTTTTTTGGTTTTAGTTGCATCTCAATTTCCAGGTCAGTTTACTCAAATTTTGTGTGTTTACTTGACTGCTGGATTTTACTGTTAATTGTTGTGGCTCCATTCTGATTTGTACTAGGCTCTTTTTAATTTTTAGCGAACCGTGTTTTTCTGGCATCGGAATAGCGTGTCCAGTTCACTTGTTTTTGATCTTTCGTTCATTTACCTCTCTGGTTGCAAAATTTTCTTCGGAATTTTCGGTTTCATCATGATTTGTGCTGGGCCTCCTTTTTTTTTTTAAAAATTATAATATTGTTCCTCTACAATAGTAAAATACTTCTGAACTTACCATACAATTTTACATACATTTAATTTGGAAGTTTTTTTTTTTGTTATTAATGATTTAATGTAAATCATTGTGTCCACGTCTTTTCATTTTTACTTTGGTTGCAAGCTAGCTGCTAGCTTCGTCACGATATTACCCTGAGTGTAGCATCAACGCCTTAGATCGTTGGGGGACAATTTCTATACTGTTACTGTTCATGTATTCCAGTAATGTTCACATGTATGGTTGTCTTATTCACATGAAAAAAAAATGGAGGCTGAGCCTAAAAGAAGTAATTTGTGATAGAAACAACGAAAACCAAGTATGAAATTGAGAAGTTTAGCATGAGCGAGAAATAAAAAATGATGGAAATTATGAGAAGTGATACTGTGAAAGTGTTGCTGGTGGAATGATTTTCATCATTTATTAGAGTGGAATCATAGTGGAGTTCAAAAACTAAAAAGTGGAGTATTAAGCGGTTTAGGAATTGTGTTCAGGCGTATATTTTCTTTTATGAATTTTCTCTCATGGTAAGAAATGGCAATTCTACGTGGACCTGCATAGGTTATTGTCGAACTATATCAACTTGGTGCAAGTCAGTTTTATTCCTAACTTGTTACATTTTCCCGTTATATTGACATCGTGTGAATGGTGACTTAAACACCAAATATCGGCTTTTTGTGTGCCAACGTGCATGATAATTTATTGCATCCTAGGTTTTTGATTGTGTGCAGTTAATTGCTATCCTGTAGTTTCCTTTTCATTTTAGTTTACTAGCACGGACATGATTGAGCAATCCTGTGAGGAGTATTCTGTATTGACCTGCCCATTGTTAACCATAATTACAATATTGAAATTGTAGTCTGTAGACATAGATAGTTGACTTCTGATATTGCATCAACTGTAGTTTCTATTGCAAAGTACAGTGTCAAACCAGGTTTTTTTATCTTTTATCTTCTCCAATAGCTTGGTACATCTACCATAAAAGGAATATAATCACTTTTTGAGCAACTGAAGTCTAGAGTAGTTGATTAATTTGTTTTCCTATTACGATTGAGCTGTACTCTATAGAGTTGTTAAAGATATTAGGTATTTTTTCAACTTCTTTAGCTGTTGCTTTTGACTCTTCAGGTGATGCTTTATTGATGTCAATCACCATGTAAAATAAGCTCTTAGGTCTGACTTTCTCATTTATCTTAGCTACTTGCACAGGGAAAGATGGAGAATGAGGAGATGAAGTCAGATTCACCGTGGTGGTATAGTCACACATCTCCTGAAATTTCTAAATCTGTTACAGAAGACGTCGAGGGTAAGAATTTGAAATGCATCTAGTTTTACCATTTAACATTCTAAGAGATAAAAACTTCTCCTGCTCCTATCTGATGTCTGGACAAAATCTGCACGTTAACGTTGTGATTTCTAAAGATAAACATGTTGGTAAATGTGACAAAATATGCAGACCTTCACTGCTCCCTAACCAGGGGTTTTTCTGAATCTAAAGATTCCTAGCGGTAAGATCAATTGCTATATTCCATATAGAGAGGTGACCTATACAACTGATACCACATCTCTGATTTCTGAAAGAACCTTATTACGGTAAGAAATGTCTATATAAATGCACTTGGTGAATTCAAAGGGGTTAATTCTTACAAAAAAGGAACTTCATTATCATGACTAGTGGTGATGAATTATCAATATTATTATATATATTTCTCCAGCAAAAGATCACAGTAACATTAGAAATTTACATCAGCAAAATACTAAATAGTTTGCATATTGCAGAAATAGATCAGAGTGTCAAAGATATGCTAGAGTTAATTCAATGTAATGGAGATTTTTCCATGGAGAAGGTTGACAGTTATCATCTGAAGCAGAATGAGTTAATTGCTCATGTCAAGGAATTTTCCCGAAGGTACCATTTGCTAGCTGAGCGTTATAGTGGGCTAACAGGAGAATTGCACAGGTATGTTCAGTCTGGAACCAAAATGCAGAATAATGAGGCACAAGTTTTTGGTTCTCAACAAAGCCCTTCCACATTCACTCCAGATAAGAAGCTGAGAAAGCAAGAATTTGAAGGAGGCGACTTCACTTTTAATTTATCTGTAAGCTCTGGTAGAGGTACTTCTGATATATCTCTGAATGAAGGCTCTGGATTTATCATGTTATCATCAGATTCTGATTCTGAATCTTGCAACTCATCTCCTAATGACCACTTAAGTCCACCTCCTACTAGAAAAATGCCAAAACATGAGATTTTGAACATTGGGTCTCAGCTTTCTGCGTTGGAAGATGATGTTGACTTGACCAAACCTGACCAATCAAGTGACACCCAAAAAGTGGTAGACTGTGGAAGGTATGAAGAGTTGTTGAAAAGAATCTCGACATATGAAGAACAACTGAGGGTTTGTAACCAAAAACTTTGGTTCTCAGAAGGCGAAATTGCCAGAATGAAAAGTGAACAAAAAAAGAATGCATCACTGTTGGTAAAATTGGGTGGTCTGGAAACTCAGCTTGAATCAGCAAATAATGAGATAAAAATGCACGAGGTTCATATGCAAACAGAGAACATAAAGGTTTCCCAGCTACAAATGCAAATAGCAGTATTGGAAAAATCAGAGAAACGCCAAGTTCTTGATTTGCAGGAATGTATGATAAAGAACACTGCAGATTTAGCAGAACGTGATTCTGAAATAAGGAAGCTGACTGCTGAACTGCATGATGCCTCGGAAAATTTTGCTTCAGAGAAAGCACAGCTTGAGTCTCATATTTCTAATTTGTCAGAACGTTTGACCACCCAAGAAGCAAGGACAGAGGAATGGGAATTGCAGTGTGAATCATTAGCTAATGAGATCGAGCAATGTGAAGCCAACAAAAATGAGATGGAAAACATGCATGAAGCCCGAGAAGTAAGTTGGCAAGATGAGATTGAGAGAATGACAATAGAGCTATATGAGAAAAATGAACGCGTGAACACTATGAATAAAGATCTAGATAGGCTGAAACTGGAGTTTGACAAGCTCCGGGCTGACAAAGACGATCTCAATGCTAAGTTACACACACTTCATGCAGAGTTAAGTTTTCGTGATAAGCAAGTTCAAGAAACAGAGGATCGTCTGCAACAGCTGCATTCTGAAAATGTGCAGCTTAGAGCAGAATCTCAAAATGCAAATAAGGTAACAGATAAATTAAGATCTAGAGTTGAGGAATTAGGGAAAGAGGTGGAAAGGCAGAGAGTCTTGGTCTTGGATAGAGCTGAGGAGAAAAGGGAAGCTATACGGCAGCTGTGTTTTACAATAGAGCATTATAGAAATTTGAATGAAGAACTTCGTGGTGCGTTTAAGAGGCCTGCAGTTATGGTCTCATAAATTTGGTATTTTCCTTTTGAAGCAAAAGTCCTCTACAAATATCTCAAGAAATTCAAATACTGCAGTATGTGTTTTGTTATAGTATTGTAATTCATCGTATTCAATTTAAGCGTCGTAGATCTGTATTTTGCTGTTACTTTGGTTAAGCATGCTTATACTGATTCATGTTTTGACATTGTTGCAATGAATAATCGCGAACAGTATTATTGTGCAGTTGGCTGTTTTTTTTTTCTAGGCAAAGATTTTTCTTGCTGTGGTTGCTTGCTCTCTGCAAGTATTATGTGTGCATTTAGTCAATATTCAATAGGTCAATGTTGTTGATGAGTCTGGGTCTTCAAAGTTCCTTCATGCTCAAGAATCATTAGATCAAGCCATTTGAAAGTCTCTACAAGGTGGGGGTGGGGTTGGGGAGTTACATTAATTAATTTCTTGTTTGACCATTGTTACTTGAAAACCATTTTTTGTTTTGTTTTTTTTCACATACTCATTTTTAATCATACATTCACATAATAAAATATTTTGCACTTAAATTTTAAAATATTTTCCTACTTTTTAACCACACTTTTTTTTAAAAATCTTTATTTAAAATTTTGTTTTTCTCAAATAATAGTTGTCAAACATGGGCTAAATTTTTCCAAATTGAAATTATTGGTCTCCAACATTCTTATCATATCACTGAATAGATCATTAAAGAAAAATTTTCTAAAAGGCATAAGTTGTGTACTAATAATATATAAATTAATGCATCATTTGAAAATTATATGAACTTCTTACATATTCTTCAAGTTTCACAACAAAAAATCTGAGGTCAGCAAGATACATTAGGTTGCACTATTAAAAGGTTTTATACGAATTGAATACATGTTCGTAATAAACATTTAACTATTCAAAATTCAACGAATGAATGAGTGACGTGTCATACAACATAGATTACAACATACTTTCACCATTTCATCAACATGCTTTAATTGCTGGCCACAATTTCATTTTTTCATGTAGTCGACCAACATGAACTTTATAGACAAAATAACTAATTTGCTAGGCCTGTTTGAGCTCCATTCTTTTTGTATAAAAAACACTTTGAAATAGTAAATTGATGGAGAATATGTGATTAAAAAATAAAGAAAAGTTTTGAATTTACATGTAATATTATTTTATTGAAGAAGTGTGGTTGAAAAAAAAAAGAGAGAAAAATATATTTTAAATGGGAATCAGACAGGGGCTAAATTGTAAAATTATATTGTATAATATTAGTCCTTCAATTTACCAAATCAGTTACGCGAGACAATCTTTTAATTACTTTTAATTTCCGAAACATAATGGGCCACGAGAATTATCAAACATTCCGAAACTAACTTACCCAGCCAGCCCAACATAATGGGCCAGAAGAATTATCAAACATTCCGAAACTTACCCAGCCAGCCCATACAAGGTTCGACCCTTAAATAACTGTCTGAAAGAATTACAAGTAGCTCTAGGGTTTTGCATTCGACATTTCAGCTTTCGCATTTGGCAACGAGAATTATCAAACATTCCCCAATTTGCAGCTCCGAAATGGTATGTTTGCATTTTGTTGTATTGTGATTCATCTTATCTCTATACTTATTTATAACCTATAACTCAGAGTGAATTCTCGGTATCATTTTTTTCTGAGTCAGATTTCATTTCTGGAATTCGAAAATCAAAGTCTTGGCCACGTTATGTGCTCGTGTTTGCAGCTGTACTAAGCTATAACATGTTATATAATTAAGCTCTTTGTACTGCCAATTAAATTTTTTTTTTTATGCATATATGTTTGGGTTTTAGTGCGAAAGAATGTGCACATTTACATTATTAGGAGGCTGTCTTCAAAATGACACTTTTTTTGGTTAAGACAGGGTTTAAGGAGAGGGAATTCCTAAAATATGTGATGTGGTTACTTTGGTAGGAGTATAAAGGTTTGGATTCATTACAATAATACTTTAAAAAGAAATCAATTTCCACATCACGGATTTTCTGTCCTTTTTGAGTTAAAATGTTGGAATATGAATGGTTACTCTAAATTAATGAGTTTTTATCTTGTTACATGTGTGCTAATCCTTTCTGCCATGCACACATTTGTGTCACTTTTTACCCGTATATCTTTTATGTACGAGTAAAAATGTAAGCATGTGTTATATGTACAGAGACACTGTTTCACAAACGTAATGTGTTATGTTACTAAAAAGATGTGCTGTTTCATTCTTTGACTCCATATAGTTTTTGGTATATGGATTTTTATGTTTATTACGACATGGTATATTGTAATGACGGTGGCATAAATTTCAGGCCACTGCCAGGGCAAGGCCACATGCACAGAAATCATCTGCTGCAGAAGATGAAGGCATGGACCCAACGGTAGGTATCCTGTCTTTTTTGTATCTTATGATTTTTGTTTTTATAGGATATTTGAGTGTGTGTGTTGGGGGGCGGGGCGGGGCGGGGCGGGTACTTCAGTATGGTTTTGGTTGGAGTGTTTGATGTTTTTATTAAGAGGACGGATTTCTTGGTTCTCTTCCATCACTTACACTATTTTGCATGCAGCAATATTATGAAAATAGGTTGAGAGCGCTTGCAGCTCAGAAGGTGGCTGGGAACAATCCATATCCTCACAAATTTGCAACTTCATTGACCATTCCCGACTATGTGAAGAAATACGAAAGTTTAAATAGTGGGGATCATCTTGAAGATGTTGAAGAAAGACTAGCTGGTAATAGAGATTACAAGTGTAGACTTGTGTTCTGCGTCATACACTCACTGATGATGTTGATGTTTCATTTTTGGAAGGGCGGCTTATGAACAAGCGGTCGTCATCTGCAAAGCTATTCTTCTATGATCTACATGGTGGTGGTGCTAAAGTTCAAGTTATGACTGATGCAAGGTAATACATACATCTATTCTTTTCTTTTTCCAAGTAGCAAGTTTTGGTGGCAATGGATCTCTTCACTTAAACTTTGAGTCTATGCTGTCTTATTTTCATGGCATGTTGTGTTATTCACCACTCATCATTTCTTTCTTTGAAATACTTTAGAATGCAAGGCATTTCTTGGTTCTACCATTAGAGTTTCATGGTTTCATTATTTTTAAAACTGTTAAGATTAGTTTGATACTGACTCACACAAAGTGTCCTGTGTTCCTATCACATATAATAAGGTATTTACTGCAGAAAACTCAATTGCGGTTCTCAATGGTACTAAACATTAGAATCAGGCTGAAGCGCAAGCTCACCCTCGTCAACTCATGTTTGCAATGGGACAATCCTGTGATTTATTGAATCGTGTTACCATATTTGCATTTTTAAGTTGTGTGTTTTTTCTCTTAACCTCAATAATCGGCCTGTTTACTCTCATTTTCTTTGCCAGTGTCTTCTTATTTTCTGGGCTGGAAATCCACGATTGTATTGAAACTTATGTAGATATGTGTGAAATAGCCTTTTGTCCTTCAGTACCAAAACTGCTTACCAAACTATTCATTAATTGTTTGCCTTGTAAAGAGTTAGACGGAATATGATTTAACCCTATTTATGAGACATCCTTGATTAATTCGCCATTCAAATTCATTAGTATAAAATCAATTTCTTTTAACAATTTGTGCTATTCATTCTTCTTTGCCTGTCTCTTTCTTTTCTGGATTCAATGTATGACTTTCCGTTTACCTTCTTTTACCATAACAAACTTAATCATTGATGTTTGACCAGGAAATCAGACTTGGATGAAGAAGAATTTACTAAATTTCATTCTTCTGTGAAGCGAGGTGATATTGTCGGGATTATTGGGTTTCCAGGTTTGTTAGTCTTTTTATCTTGATATGAACTCGTGCTCAAGCTCAAACATCACTTTTTTTAATTGAAGTCCCTCACGTTCTACTGAATGTCCTGCTCAAAAAAGTTTTAAATTGTTCAGCTTGATTGATTTGTGCCTCACTGGTTAACCATAATCAAATGGTACTATTTACATTAACTCCTAGAAGAAAAACCCACAAGAACTTTATTGGTTTGCTTCTTTTGTTGTACCAGAGTTAACCCTGGCCTTGTTGATACAGGTAGGTATTTCACTGTAGGTGCATGATATATGTACATTCATACATACGGAGTGTATGATGCATTTGTTTGGCTGCACCAGCCATGTTCTTTCTTTTGGGTTATTATTTTTTTATGTTCAATTTTTTAGAGTGTCTTACATTAAGTGTGCTATGATGACATAAACCTCAGTTTTAAATTTCAGCTTTTTTCCACATCTTCTGCCCTTTTTTTCATTGCTTAGGAAAAAGTAAAAGGGGAGAGCTGAGTATTTTTCCAAAAACATTTATAGTTCTGTCCCACTGTCTGCACATGATGCCTCGGCAGAAAATTGGTCCTGGGTCAGACAGTGCTAAGGTAATTCTGTTTTTTGTTTAAAGACGCAGATGCCTGCTGTTTTGCTCTTTATCTTATTGACATTTTATTATACTGTACAGAAAACTGATGTTTGGGCCCCAGGAAGTGGCAGAAATCTAGAGGCTTATATACTGAAGGATCAGGTACTATATAATCCTCCAGCAATGACTTCAACTGAATCCCCATCTACGTACGAAAATGGGAAGAAAGAGAGAAGAACAGAAATCTCTCACCCTTCTCTCTTTTTCTTTACATGCCTCAGTGTTTTTATGTGTACGTCTTTCTACGGATGTGGTAGGAAACACGATACAGACAGCGTTACTTAGATTTGATGCTGAACATGGAGGTTCGGGAAATATTCAAGACCAGGGCAAATATTATTTCTTACATCAGAAGTTTTCTTGACCAACGTGAATTCTTGGAGGTAAGTTGTAAGACCTCTATTTTAGAGCTTTTCCGGCACAGATTTTTCTAAAACTATTTCCTCCAAAATCATTTTCAACCATGCATTCTATGGGACCCATAACTTTTCCTTCTTTTCAACCCCACATGTTCTAAAATAAAAATCATTTTTCTCTTGTAAAAATCTGTGCCAAACTTAGTCTTA